CCCAGCCCCTCACTGCCCCCATCTCTTCCCACCCCTCATTGCCCCCATCTCTTCTCCCCTCCCCGTTTTCTCCGGCCCCGGACACGCACCCCCCCATCTCTTCCCCAGCCCCTCATTGCCCCTCGGGAATTATTACCTCCCCCCACTTTATCCTGTGACTGGTATTATCATTTGCTAAAGCGCACGGGCAGCAGCGTGTTTACCTCGGCCCGCAGCTCCCGGGCCCCCTCTAGGACTGAATCGCCACCACACCAAGCGAGCCGAGGCGGAAGCGGGAGAGGCTGACGTGTGGGGCAGGCATGCTTTTAACACCCCGAGCCGGGCTTTTTAATAACCTCGTTGGCGATTCCGCAGCTCCCCTCCCCAACCCAGTCCCTGCTGCGACGGGCTGACACTCCACAAACAAGGGCGCTCCAGGGCACGTGAACAGGGGTGTAACGCGAGGAGCCCGGTCCTTCCTGCTGACAGAGGCTGCTCTAGCTATAGGCAAGCTAGGCAGCTGCCTGAGGCTGCAGGTTTGGCCCAGCCACCCCTCTGTCATGATGGGGAGGTGGCTGGGTCAAATTTGGGTGGCCCTGTAACGCCATGCACCAGGTCACAATGCCATTCACTCAAATATGGCCCATCTGCTCCTCCATCATGACAGAGGGAGGGCAAATAATAATATATGGAGATATACCTATCTCATAGAACTTGAAGGGTTGAGGCCAGCCCCCTGCCTTCACTAGCATGATCAAGTACTGATTTTGCCCCAGATCTCTAAGTGGCCCCCTCAAGGATTAAACTCACAACCCTGGGTTTAGTAGGCCAATGCTTAAACCACTGAGCTATCCCTCCCCCCAAATCTGCTGTCCTCTTGTGAGGAGGAGCAGCTGCAAACTGAAGTTTTGCCTAGGATGGCAGATTGTCTTGTGTGGCCTCTGTCTGATGGAGCTTAAGGTGTGCTCCCCCCTTAGCTCACATGATTTATTCCTCTCACCCAAAGTGATAACAAGCAACCCGAATGTTGCTGCTCCCCAGGGTGAGGCCCTAAGTGCTTCTAGAGATAGGAACCCCTGTCCCAGTGATTTGCCTGAGCTGGAGTTTAATCTTTGTGCTCAGTTGGACATTAATGGTAAATTCTGTGGTGACTGACTATAGCCTCTTTAATACTTTTGACATTTTAATGTTTAAGCATTTTTTTTATTTATTGAATTTTCACAATTGCAGGAAATGGGGGGGGGCATCAGATATTAATTATTTAATGATAGTAGGCATTGAGATTCAAAAAATAAAATCTTTATAACCGTTAACACACACATTGTCAACATCACATGCCAAAATATACAAAGTAGATATCCTTAAATCAAACTCTAATTAAAGTTCTCAAGCCGGATTTTTCTTACATTGCCTATTCTTTACATTTCAATTAGCAATTTTGTCATTTTGTGTGTGGATGGTGAAATTGACATTTACAAATAAAAATGTAATCTTTGCAAGCCTAAGTATAGAAAAGCCATGCAGAATCAGGCAGCTTCGGACCCCCATTTAAGTTTTGTATGAAAAGAAAAGTTTCACAAAACCATAGCACTGATGCATGTTCCATTCGTAACTCTTATCCAATAAGCCACGAGAAATCTGACCATAGGTATCGAAGTTCCTACAGCTGAAGCGGAGCTGGGACTGCGACTGCACAGGCATCTGTCCCCACAATGCCAGCAGAGCCAACAATTCAGGTGTGCTCCAAGTGGGAGAGCATTTGCTGCGTGGAACCCCCATTGTCAACTGGGAAGATGCATTGAGCTGCCCACAGGGAGCAGATAGCTCAGTTGTTTGAGCATTGTCCTGCTAAACCCAGGGTTGTGAGTTCAATCCTTGAGGGGGCCACTTAGGGATCTGGAGCAAAATCAGTACTTGGTCCTGCTAGTGAAGGCAGGGGCCTGGACTTGATGACCTTTCAAGATCCCTTCCAGTTCTAGGAGGTGGGATATCTCCATTAATTCATTTATTTAAGCAATTAGGAAGCAGAATTTCATAAAATTCTTGGGCCTTAAAAGGGGGAAGCGTGAATACCTGGGTGCAGCACAGCATAGTTCAAACTGCTGACCAGAGTGGTCAGGCTGGGCATTGTGGGACACCTCATGGAGGCCAATTATAGCAACATAACCAAAGGCCGTGTCTACATTGACACTTAGTTGATTTAACTCTGCCTCAAAAAGCTCTATGCCTTTCATCAAGGTGGTTTTATTTTGCCAAAAGGAGAGTTTTGTTGGCAGAAGGAGCATTGGAGTGTGTACACCGCCACTGTTTTGTCGATGAAAGCTGACTTTTGTCGACAAAACTGTGTAATGTAGACAAGGTCTAAGGCTCCTTAAATAATAATAGCAGGGCCTACAGAAAAATAAGTCTAGTAGCAGCTGTCTCAGGACACAAGCTCAACCTAATTTCTGGTGCAAGTTAGTTCACAGCCAGGGCCTCTTCAATGAGAACACCATAGATACCATTCCCCAAATTTGAACATGGCTACTCTTATCCTCAATGTACTTGCTGAGTAGAGTTCGGGTAGTCAAGAGTGGCAAGATTAATTGATTTTAGTGGTAGCTGGTCACAAGCTGAGCCTTTTGGCTTTGTCAACTTTGCTCCCTATATTGAAAGTTATAGTCTTTTATTCTTACTATGTACATTTGTGAGGGGGTAGTCAAGAGTAAAGATTTGAAGGGTGAACCACACAGCTCTAATACTGGACAATTAAGGACAAACTGATTTCATGAGATAGTTTGGCTAAATACTGAGCCACATGGGGGAAGACCAGCTTGAACAGAATGTATCCAGGGATCAGTTGGTACTTTAACGTTAGTCTATGAGAGGGAGGGGTTGTAATGCTCTTGCATTTCTTCATAACATGTCACAGTTTACAAAACTTTATCAAGCTGACAAATGTGAGGCATAACTTGTGGGTCTCTCTGTCAAATCTTCCATGCACTAAGGATCCATCTAAATAATGAGAAAATGACTCACTGCTGTAATGACCACTAACAGGACCAGCCACCACACACCCCTGCCCATGCAGAAAATGGTTTGGCTACTAGCGTAGATAGGACCAAAATGTTAACAGCATTATAAAAAGCATGTTCAACCTCATCTGACGTCAGGCCCCTAACAGATTCTTTGTACCCATGCTACAACTGGTCTGCAAAGCCACAACCCTCTTCTCCTTTAAATCTCTCTTAAAGACATACTTCTTCTGAGACACTTACAAGAACCTAGCTGACTAATTAATCTATTTATCTAAAGTGAGCAGCTCAGACATATGTGGATGGATGGGTGGGAGGAAAGCAAGAGAGAGGAGCCTACCATGTTTAATTTTAGTTACAAGTTTGTTTAGGATTTTAATAAGCAGTGGACTTATTACCATATGAACACTTTGCTCATATGTTGTATCCCTAACTGCTTGTGTGGTTTTAGGGAGTATGCTTTGCAGGGTACGGGCTGTCCAGCTCCTCATCAATTTGGAAAGCACACAGCAAAACTGTTTAATGTCAATTAAGGGAGGTGTGGTAGGTGCACATAGACAAAGCGTGTCTCTAATATGGCATTTTCCTATTGTCAATGGACTAAGTGAAGCAGAACAGCATTACCTTTGCCAACAGCCTCAAAGTTAATTCCCAACTCCCCCCCGCGCATTGATTGTGTTTTTTGGTTAAAATAGTTTCTTTAGGCTTATAGTTCAACTTTCTGGCTTTTCATATATAGTCACATGCTGATATTTTGGCCAATAAACCAAAATATGAAACTCTGGAATATGACTGTCCTAATAGTAAGGAAACAGACATCACTACTTTTTTAAATTTGATTTTCTATCAAAGCCCAGAGATAGACTAGGCAGCAAGGTAACTGAATTAAACTTTCACTGCAAAGAAGTGGAGACTACCAATGTTTCTCTGTAGAGAAAGAGGGTTAGTGGAAGAGGGGCCTGTGAATCTGGCTGGGATCTGGCTTAGCCTCAGTAGTTGAAAGGCTCCCCACAACACTTCTGCCTCAACTCCATTTTGCACCTAGGTGACCCAGTTAGGTGAACTGAAGCAGGAGGAGCCCTTGAAGTAGAGAGATATCAGCAGACAGAGACTAGGCTGTATCCCCCATCACATTGTGTTAGGCCTTGTCTATACTACAAAGTTTTATCGGCAAAAGCTGCCTTTTGCTGACAAAAGAAGGGAGGTGTACACACTACAAAGCTTGTTTTGCTGACAAAATAAGACCACCCCGACAAGAAGCATAGAGCTTTTTGCAGCAAAGTTAAAGCAACAAAGCATCAGCGTAGACACTGCGGTTTGTTTTGTTGACATAACTGGCTCCCACCCTATTCCGTCTCCTCTGGGATATATTATTAAATTTTTGGTTGCACTTTTCCCCTCACCTGTTCATCTACTCACTCCCTATCCGTAGCCCCACAAAGTCGCAGGACCTCTGTCAACCTCCTCCTAGCCCTGGCCAAAATGGCCATCTACAAAACCAGGGAGAGGAGGTTGGCCGACGCGGTTTCCTGCGACTGTGGGGCCTATTTCCGCTCCTCAGTCCGTTCACCCATCCGGGCAGAGTTCCTCTGGGCGGTGTCCACTGGCTCCCTTGACACCTTCGAGGAGCAGTGGGCGCTGTCTGGGGTTCTCTGCTCAGTGTCCCCGTCAGGTTCCCTTAGTTTAGCCCTGTGACCTCACTCCCGTTCCTGTTATCTCCTTAGTTGTCCCCCGCAATTATTTGGAACCGCAGACCTGTGGATCCTCCCCCTAGGCGGGGGGGGGAGGTCCTTTAGCAGTGGGCGCACCCACCCACTTCCTGGATCCCAACAGGACCAGTATTCCACAGTGCCTGCCATGACCGCTCTGCTCACTGTTTTGATCTCTGCTGCCCCGCAGGCATGCGCCCCCTCCCCTCTCAAAGATCCAGGAAGTATCTAACAGCTGAGCATGCTGCACCCTTTGGGGAACAAAGAGCAAATCATTAATGTGGAATGCGCCTTTTCTGCCCTGCACTAAGAACACAGCAGCAGGCAGACAGCTGCTGCAGGTACAGGACTGCTGTGCTGCTTTGACAGAGGGTATGTCTACACGGGAAACTTCAAAGTGCTGCCGTGGGAACGCTCCCGTGGCAGTGCTTTGAAGTGCGAGTGTAGTCACGTGCGAGCGAGAGCGCTCCCAGTAATCCACCTCCACAACAGGATTAGCTCCGAGCGTGGCTCGGAGCCTGGCTACACTAGCGCTTTAAAACACTCAGACTTGCTGCACTCAAGGGGGTGATTTTTCACACCCCTGAGCCAGCAAGTTAGAGCACTAAAAAAATGTAGGTAAGCCCATATTCTTCAGGAGGGAGAGCTCACAGAGCTGCTCAGAAGGCCGCTCACAGCAGCTGAGGGAGAACTTGGAGGGAATCTTAGAACCATAGGCAGGCAGAGTGGGCTGCTTCAGGAGAGACTGCTGGGCCAAGCAGAGCTGGGGGCTGATGTGGGGTGTGTGTGTGTCCCTTCCCCAGGATAGGTCAGTCAGCCTGTTGTCTCCCCCACCCCAGACACCACTCTCCTCTTCCTCCCCTCCACACACTTCAGTTGAAAAAGCAGCTGACAATCTACTAGAAAGCCCAGGAACAATGGGATTGAGAAACCATCATATGATGCAGTACCTGCCCCATCAGGCATTGCAAACTCTTCCCAAAGCATCCTGCAGCTAGTTGCACAGCCGGGAACAGAGCAGTGATCTGTGATAGCTGTGTCGATGCAAGAGCTGTTAGCGTGGATGCACTCCGCCGACACAAGGAGCTAGTGTGTACATGCAACAGTGGTGCTAGTTAAAACAGCATAACTTTTGCAGACAAAACGTTGTAGTGTAGACAAGGCCTTAGTCGAACACAGCCCTCTTCCCCCACCCCTCATTTTCTCCCCAACCTATCTTGGACCTACTTATATTGATTATAGGCTAGATACAATCATCAACTTTGCTGAATTACAACCTATTTTTTTCCCCAAATGTAGCCCACACATGTATTCAATGAGTTAACTATATGAAAAGTTTGAAAAGTCCCTAATTCAATTGTTAAGAGTGTTTGGACCACAGAAAGGCGAGACATGTACTGGCATTTTTAAAGGGCCCATTTTAAAATTAATTCTAACAACCTATTTAGCAGAATTACTTGTGAATGGTCAGAAAACTCATCCTGTACTCAAAAAAGCAAGTACTGTGAGTGTGAAGAGAGTACTCTATTACTTATAAAGCTCTGATTTAGGTACAAAAATGAATTATGGAGAAACACGTTTAGACAGTAACAGCAGCAACAATCTTTCATTGTTATATACCTGAAAGAACAAGACAGAAGCCTGAAAACTGGGACAATCATGTTTTGTCAGACAGCCAAATTTGAAGTCTCAACTGTCCATTGACAAATAATCAGAATTGCCTTCACTCCCCACCCGCTGGTAGTTTGGAACTAAAAACAAGAATTCATGGTTTAGATTAACTATATTTTGGTTAAAGTTCATTGAGAAACGGGATAAATAAACCCAAAACTTTGCTAAATGACAGGGAAAGTAGTATTTTCAAGCCTTTAAGATGCAACTATATACACAATGAAAATTAAAAAAAAAAAATAGTTTTAAACCACCCCAGTTAACAGTATCCTTTTAAATGAAATTTCAATAGCATAATCTATATTGTGCAAAGGCAAGATATCATTGAATTGTCTTATTGGCAGTTTTAATAGTCACAAATCAACACAAATTCCAGCAAGCACTTTGATATATCACAATTTGTGACATTCTGAAACTAACCCTTAAGAAACATCTTTCACGATCCTGTCTGCTCTATACATTGAATTGTCAGAGGATTCAGTTACACTGTCATCGACATAATTAAAGCATGATTTTAAAGCCTTGGATACATCATGTCATTATTAGACCACAGTTATTAAAAGACAAGCATGTGTGAAAGTCAGGATATATAGAGATAAGGCTCCAGAAACATCTCAACTCTGGCCCCTCATGCCTGGGAGCCAGTCATCTACATAAGGATGCACTGTCCAAAATATACTTAGATATTTAGATCATCATATCTTCAGGGCAGAGACTGCCTATCACTACAGATCTGTAAAATGCCAGTACGATGATCCTAATCTTGACATGAGTCTCTAAGTGCCCCAGTGACACAAATAATGGGACAATATGTAGCATTTTCTAATAGTGCATATTTTCAGGGTGGGCACTCGAGTTAAACTGGGTTTACTGACTCATAGCTATGAAACTGTTTGGTAACTGCATACAGAGGAATAAGAGGCCAACTTAACAGGAAGAATTACAGGTGGCTACACTCAAGGTAGATTTGTTGAGTAAATATGGAAGTGGATATATAGATGTGTGTATCAGCAAATATTAACTAGATCACTGCAATGTGAACTGGGGCAAAATTCCTAACTTCAACAATGCAGTATTCCTACTGGTCTTGTTCTATTTACTGTACCTTTCTTGTTCTTTTCTCCTCCAAAGTTTTAGTAGTCAATATCCTGAACATTCATTGTACGTGAGTTGAGGCCCAACCAGCATTACCAGGAGCAGAATAAGTTAAGTAGCTCTTAAAAAATTCTCTTTATTACTACAAAATAGTTAATATGTTGTCACTGCACCAGTGCTGACTTATTCAATTTATAATTCACTACAGAAAATAAACATAAGAAAAAGATTCACGTGAAGCAATTTGCATGTACTTTAGTACAGCAGAAGCCCAGGAAGATGGACAACCTTGACAGTGCATTTAAAAAAAACCATAATTGAAAATAATCATTAAGTTTACATTCAGTTAGCCATAGGAATGAAGAGTATTCCATGATTATAGAGTAAATTAATACTGAAGCATAATTTGTGATTCCTGCCATAAGATTTAGTTACAGTGCCACAGAAGAGAGAGCTTGATTATGATATTAGTGCCTCAGTTTCCCCATCAGAAAAGTGGGAAATACAGTGAATACCGAGTAAGTGATGTTAAAGAAATGGGATGAAGTTTTAAAGCAGGGTTTGAAAAATTTACCAGATACCAACTAGTCAAAAGATTAAACTCAGTAGACAGAGTCCAAAATAAAAAGACAGGAGGAAGCTCACTGACCAACTTAATGACCTAGTGAAAAGCCAACTACCCTTCCCAACTTGCTGCCTACCATGGTGTTGTCCCTTTACCCTACTCAAGGGCTCCGTCTTTTATGTCAGCTGCTTGCTAGTAGGTGTCTGACAGTTTTGAAGCCCCGTCCCCATATATTCCCCCTGCAAAAGAAGGAGCATTCTCTCTACCAGCCCCTAACCTTAAAGTTGTTCTACTAGTCTATCCTCCACCTTCCTTCATACTCTGAATTTCCCTCTCCAGTAGTTTCTTTTGCTGCCACTCAGGATTTTTCCAAGTAGCAGGGTTAAAGTGACATAGTTCTTGTCAGTTCCACTGCTACATATGGGATCGGATTCTGAATAGCAACAGTAAAAGTTACCAAAATCCTGCTCTTATTCCAGGCCACTGTTGTTTGAAAAAGCTCTGAGCACTGAACCATATGCAGATCCATGGAGCTAACAGCAATAAGATGAAATGATCTATTCACATCCTTGGGAGGATGTTGCAGATATGGAAATAAGATCTTTTAAAGCTTGAAGAGACAAAGCAGGTGGTAAGATTAGATACAGAAGCAAAGTGATGGAGATGATGATACTTTAAACATGTATTATCTTCCATTCGTTTTCAAGACAAGATGCTTCAATTTGGGCAGAATCCTGGGTGAAGTCGTAGCTCTAGGACCCCTCAAATGCCTTTTCCTGAGCCAGTCCACGTAGAAATCTAAAGTGCCCACTTCTCCTGGAAAAAGGCCACGGGCAAGTTACAAAACCCAGGAAACAGCAAGCACAATCAACACCCCCTCGCCCCCCAAACCCTAAGCCTTCTCCCTACAGCCAGTACTGCCCCACAGGTATCACCTTAGGCCACTGACACCGCATTACCCCCCTCGTGCAGGATCACTGCCTGTGCAGTTTCCTCAGGGGCAACTATTGCCTTGACAGCCACGTGTGTGTAGCTGGAGGCAGAGCTGCGTAAATCGCCCCCTCAAAAGCGCACCTGAGCATTTATATCTACAGATACAGCACTTAACCCCCCTGTACCTCACCGCCTCTCCCTTGCGAGCTCCCACACCTGACGCTGGCTGAAGCAAGCCCGTTGCCTACCTAGGGACAGGAGACGCCCCAGGGCGCAGCCCCCACCCGTCTTCCCCCAAGCCACCAGCCTGCTCCCTGCGAATCGCCTCTTTGCCCATTACAGGCAGCCAGCCGGCTCCTGCCACCACCCCCGAGCCCCACCCCCATCCCGGGGACAGGCGCGACAGCAGCGCGCGCTCGCAGCATCTCCGCCAACGGCGGCGGCCTGAACAGTAGCGGTAGCAAAGCCCCCCAGCCCTGCTGTCTATGGGGCTGCCTGAAAAACAACGCAGGCGAGGACACCAGCTATCTACCAAGCCGCCTTCGAAGACCCAAGGTGCCCTTGGCGGTGCCTGAATAATAATTCCACCGAGGACTCCAACCGCCTGTACAACCACAGCACACGCACTAAGCAAGGATCCGAGCGATCATTCCTGATTCCCAGAGTAACAACGCCACCGACGACCCTCAGCGCCCTTCCAGCTGCTTTAAATAGAGCTTTTCTCAGGACCCCGACTGTCTACCATGCAGCCTGAACAATAATTGCCTGAGGACCTCGGGTGCCTAGTACAGTGCCTGCGCAGCGAGTGAGCCCGCTGCCGCTGAGGACCCCGGCTGCCTTTGCGTTGCCTGCACAATAACACTGCTCAGCGAGCCTCCGGTAGAAGTTCTAAACAAAATTCCGCCCGGCGAGCGGCGGGGAGCCCGGCGGCAGCAGGGAGACCCGGCCCGAGGGAGCGGGGAGCCCCGCCGCGCTCGCTATGGATCAGTGTGTGACGGTGGAGCGGGAGCTGGAGAAGGTGCTGCAGAAGTTCTCGGGCTACGGGCAGCTCTGCGAGCGGAGCCTGGAGGAGCTGATCCAGTACGCGGGGGGGCTGCGCCGCGAGATCCTGCAGAGCGAGAGTACGTGCGGCGCGCCGGGCCCGGGGCGGGGGGAGCTACCCCTCAGCCCCGCCAGAGAGCCCCCCCCCCGATCCCGGTTCTCCTAGACCCCCCCCAGTCCCGGTTCTCCCAGGCTCCCCCCCCCCCCGATCCCGGTTCTCCTAGACCCCCTCCAGTCCTGGTTCTCCCCAGGCTCCCCCCCCCCCCGATCCCGGTTCTCCTAGACCCCCTCCAGTCCTG